TCAGGAGTGGAAACATAGAAATGAAGATCTCAAGGAGGGTTAGCAACAGGGGAGTGGGAGGAGGAGATGGGGGGAGAAGGTACAGAATATAAGTAGCATAGACAGTAGATAGAAAATAGATGGGGGGGCAAGAATAGCATGGGAAATATAGAACCTAAAGGACTTGGGACACATGGACATAAACTAAAGGGGCGTAATGGTGGGGATGGGGGGGCAGGGTGGAGGGGAATGAAGGGGGGAATAGAACAACTGTAACAGCATAATCAATTAAAAAAATAAATTAAAAAAAAAAACAAAAGAACAGTGCTGTTAGAAGTCGGGGGGCAGTTATCTTGGAGGGTGTAGCAACTGGAAAAGGGTGTGTGAGGGACTTCAGGGTCATGGTCTGCTTCTTGATCTGGGAGCCAGGTGTGTTCAGTTTGTGACAATTCAGTGAGTTATATACACGCAAGCACACTTTTCTGTATGTGTATTGCAGCTTAATAAAAAGTTTTAGAAATAAATGAATATATTTGCAAACGCCAACAGAAGTGACATTAAATGTTCATGCTTTCAGAACCACTTTCGCTTTGGAACTGCAGAAGAAAGTGTGGAATGTCGAGGACAACAAAAATCCAAGCTGCTGCGATTCCACACACATCGGGATTCCCTTGCAAGTCGGTCTGTGGCTCATGACAACAGAAGTGAGAGGTAAGAATGAATGCCCAGGCCCTGCTGGTATGGCTCAGTGGATTGAGCACCAGCCTGTGAACAGAAAGGTTCCCGGTTCGATTCCCAGGCAGGACATATGCCTGGGCTGTGGGCCAAGCCCCCAGTTAGAAGTGTGTGAGAGGCAACCATTTAATGTACCTCTCTCACTTCAATGTTTCTCTCCCTCTCTTCCTCCCTCCCCCTCTAAAAATAAATAAATAAAATCTTAAAAATAAGAATTCATGCCCAATACTGAATAATGTCACAAGTGTAACCCCGAAAGCAACCTGAAACCTTGGGAAGTGTCACCAGTCCAACGGCCCCAGGCTCCCAGGCTCCACAGTAAAGGCCTCGAGTCGTCTGCAGAGCAGTCCTGTTACCACAGTTCCAACACCTCTTTCCAATCAAGAGAAAAATGTTATGACAGAAAAAGACATCTACTGTTTGGCTTTGTATTTTCATTTCCCCAGATAAAAAGCTACAATACTGTGCTGTTCAGCTCCCTGCGCTGTTTGGTTTACCTGGCAACCCTTCTGCCAGCACCTGGCCCAGGACTCTTACTTACTACCCCCCTTTTTCAGTCACCGTGGAGCCAAGGGCAGGTTGTCTGGGCGTCTGCAAACCCTGTGTCCTCTCCAGTGTGCCTGAAGAAAGTGGCGTGATGGGGACAGATCAAACACCGTGTGAAACTCCAGCAAGAAACAGAAAAGTCAATTTAAAGCTGCGGAAGCAAGACCCACACAGTGGAGTCGACCCTGGAAACCAGCCTGACAGGGACTTTCACTCACACCCCCTCGTTAAACCCAAGTGGAGAAAATAAAAACCATTAAATAAACAACCCCCCCAGTACACATGCCTCCATTGCTTGCTTTACCCATCGAAATAAAAACACCTCATTTTCTTATTTAAAAAAAAAAAGGTTTGTTCAAAACCTGCCAGTAATGACAAATTACCAGAATGACAGAAAGTGCTGTTGACATGTTAGATCACCAAATTATAAACAAGTATTGGGTTTGTGCACTTGTTAGTCAGGAAAAACTAAATTACTATCCAAAAATGGGAGGGACAAAGGCTGGCGTAGTAAATGGCATGTGGACGCTGGCCACTCCTAGGCTTCCGGACTCAGTTTTTCTTAATGGTAAACAAACAAAAGCCGTGTCCACCTTGAGAGCGGCTGTGTATTAGAATGAAACAAACACTGCGAAAGTGGTAAGGCAGGGTGGGAGTCTGGCGTAAGATAGGCGCTTACTAAATGTCCCTTTCTTCAACACACAGGCACACCTACTGTGTGCCAGGATCCGTTCTAAGTGTTCGAATACAACAAAACAAAGCTCCCTCCCTTTGGGAGCTCTACTCTAGTTGGCGTGGGACGAGAGACAGACATTGTAAATAAATACATTACACCTTTGTTAGGTAGGGTTGCCAGGGAGATGGTGTCCTGGGCCATTTTAAAGGGCTGCTGGAGTGGGCCTCTCTGAGAAGGTGACATTTAAATGAAGACTCTGTGTCCCCTTTTCCCTGATTGTCATTTTCCCCCCTTCACTGCTGCGTCAGCAAGATTAGTTAGTATGACAGCCGGAAATGATGTCATACCCATCCCTCCTCAACTTCCTAAGACTTTAAGAGTTCTAACTTCTAGGAAGGTTGTGGTAACTCTTAATGAAGGGTTTTATTTTTTTTAAACTTTACTTCTTCCTCATACCACCAAAGCATATACTTGTCTGAAAGCCACCCAAAGTTACCAGCATGCTGCAAATTATCAGCATACTATAGACTGGAGTGTGGAGAAGGGGAGGGAATCTTTTTTGTCTAATTCTTAATTAGCAACAGTAACATTACTGGACATTTTGGGGCGTATTATCATGCCATTTGTTTGTGAAGCTGCAAAACACACCCTCCTGGGAGTTAGCATGGATCTCCAGTGATCATTCGTCTAAGTATATATTTAGAAAGCTCTACAAATGTGTAAATATTTAAAGCTATTTGATACGGCATACAGAGGATCACACTTCCTTTATAATCCCCACTTTCTCTAAAGAATTTATTCCTTTATTTCAAAGTGGGAGAAATTTGAGTATTAAAAAAAACCTAACACCCAGACAAACAAGTCATAAAATCTCATCTGCAGGTGGCTTTTGTATACGCACCTGGTTAGGTTATGGTTCTATTAGTAAAACATTGTAGACTGCTAGGTAACATAAATGAAGTCTCTTAAAAAAAAAAAAAAACTAGCCAGACTCATCAACACCACCAGTAGATTTTTTACCATATTAGGCTTAAATTGTTTTCAGCTTTGGTAGTGGGGCAATGGCACGGGGAGCAAGAACCCAGTGGGCAGGTGGTGGAAGAACTTCAGGCTTTCAGTTCAGGCCCGTGAATGTAAAATTTCACTGTGCATTTCCATTGCAGACAAAGCATGAACTAGCAGCATTCACTTCATAGCTTACAGTTTAGCTTACAGATAAACTTGTCTAGAGTAGCATATTCTTATTCCACCATCTCAACAGAAAAAACATGACCCTACAACATTGAGGAGGAAATGGTGATTGAAGTCAATCAACAAACACCTGTGAGCTTTCAGCGTATTTAAAACACCTGGGAATAAAAGCAATGAGCTATTAATAACCTCTCAAAGTATGAACATTTTTTTATACAGCCTTACAAATACATATAACCAAAACTATGACACCCACACTTTTCCCCTCCTGCCCCACGTCCTTGGGTAACGCAACTCGCCAAAGTGTGCGGCTGACATTTGAGGCGCTGTAGTGCACTGGAGCATCAGCCCCTGCACAGGGTAGAAGGGCTGAAAGTGAAAGTCAGGAGTGAAGCAAAGCCAAATTACTTTGGAGCGCCTGACTGCTTGTCTCAAGTTGTTATCACCTCCCAGATTGGAAAGATAAGTGTACCGATTCTTGGAGGCAGCTGGGAGAGGAATCTGTGTGTGCCCTTTTTCAAGCTTTTGTGGCCCTGCGGAGACTTCAGACTCCGCCTGAATGTGCAGTGATCTGCATTCCTCAATCACACAGTTCTTCCTCAACTGACAGTCGTCAGAGTAGCTACTACCGCCTACATCTGAAAGTAAGCATGTTTTATTTACACACTTCGAAAAGACCCACGCTTCCTGACCCACCATCTTCACCAACACCTAAAACGAACAGCCCCGGTACAAATGTAAAACTTTAACATTCAAATTTCTGGGGTTTCTAAATGTCCTCATTAAGGAAACACGTGACGAAGGAACAGGTTTTGGTCGCGGGGCCTTACTGAGACCCCCAAATGCCCTGTCAACTGTGTCTATGAACCTATAAATTATAATCCACACGTTACAGTTATTTTGTATTCAGATGAAGGAAATAAAAAATTTTGAACTTCAAAAAATGCTGTTTTAAAATTTTTATCCAACAAAAGTCAATAAAATCATGATTTGAGGAATTCACACAGACTTTGCCAATCTAGATGACTAGATTTTTAAGGCTGAAAAAAAAAGTAGAAAAAAAATGATCACACTATGGGCCTTAAAAATGACTATACACGACTTGGAAAACTTTAAAAGTCTCAGTGGTTCCACGAGCCGAATTAAAACAAAAGTTGTTTTGTATTCTATTAATAGCAGACGATTAAACACGTCTCTTATTCCCACTGGAATTCACTTATAAGTACTGAAACTGACTCTACTGGTCACTCATCCTAAGTCTGTGTCTGTTTCCGGAAAAACTCGCGCGATGAATGTGAGTTAAGAGATCGACCATCAATCACAGCGTTCCTTGAGGTCCGGGCAGTTTTCCGAAAACCGCGGGTGGAGGTTTGCTGGACGCCAGTAAACGCCAAGATGAACTTCCTGCCGCTTGCGAGACGAGAGAGGGTCGGAGGGAGCGAGTGTGGAGACCCCCGGAGCGCCGCCCCGCGGAGTCCGGGGCCACTCGGCTCACCTGGCGCGCCCGCCAGTCCCTCCCGGCCGGGCCCCGCGCGGCTCTGCCTCCGCGGGCACGAGCTCGGCCCCGGTCCCGGGGCGATTCGGCGGGGCCACGACTCCGGACACAGTTCGGGGCGGGCGTGGCCCCCGAAACGGCACAGGTCACCGCCCCTTCGGCGAGTACCCCCGAACACGCCGGCTTGTAAACTAAGGAGCGCCCTGGGCGTCTCCCGCGCCCCGAGCGCCGGGAGGGGGAGGGGAGGCTCTTCCCGTGAGGAGTCCCCTCCGCGCCCCAAGGTGAAAAGCCAGACCCTGGGCCGCCGGGCCTCTCCCCTCGCTCGGCCTCGAACCCCGAGTCCCGGAGCGCCCCGGCCCCCGCCCCGGGCCCGCGTACCCGGTAGGTGCTCTCAGTGAGCCGGTTCACCTCCTCCGGCCCCTTCGACATGGCTGCAGCCGCTGGACGTGCGAGCGCGGGAGGACGCGGCCGGGCCTCGTGGCCGCCCGACCCTGGCTCGGCTGGATCGCAGGGGCGCGACCGAGGGGCCTCGAGGGTCAGCCGCCGCCGCAGCCCGTGGGCCCCGAGTGCCGGCGCACGTCTCCGCCGCCGAAATGTCAAAACTTGCAGCGCCGCCGCCTCAGCCGCGGAAGACCGCGAGGAGCTGAGGAGACGCGGCCTGACGCCAGCTGGACAAGCGGGCCGGGCCGGGCCGCCCCACCTGAGGCGGCGGGTGGGCGGGGCCGAGTGGGCGGGGCGGGCACGAGGGAGCGCGCCCGGTTGGGCGGGGCTGGCCCCACCTGAGGTGGCCCGGATGGGCGTGGCCTAGAGGCCCGGGGAAGGGGCGGAGGCGGGCCGAGCCTAGTGGGAGGGTCACAGCGGCCCGAGTGGGCGGGGCGGAGACGAGATTGGCTAAGTGGGTGGGGTGTGCCCACCTGTTGGAACACTGGGCGGGGCGGCCGACGTGTGTCGATTCGCTTCCAGCGGGGAACTCCTGGTGACCCAGGGACCCCGGGAGGCGTCGGTAGCCAGGGTTTCTCCTCTGCTGGGACAAGGCCTGCACCGAGAGCGGTCGGGCCTCTGTTCCTAGAGCCCTGTTGTGTGTCGCACGGAGGTGGTCTCCGAGGCCCCGCCCGCTACTAGCCCTACCTTTCGCGGACCACAGGAAGAGGGGCCTATGTCCTCCAGTTGCTTTGATTTCTCCCCTTCACACCTTCCCGCGCACCCCCTTGCTGACCCTGAAGATCTGAGGGACCCCGTGGCAGAGGCTGTCCTAGATGAAGAAATGGGGCCGGCCACTTGCAGTTTGGGAAGTTCCTCATACGTCAAAAATTAATAAGTGCCGAGATCTGGCTACGTGTTTAAACTTTACATTCGAGAACGACATTGAATTCACTGTAATGTCACCATGCTATTCACGAGATTTAGAAATCCGAGCTGAGCTGAGGTGTGGAGGCAACTCTTCCTTTCAAGAGTCTGAGCAGGTGCAGGCTCCTGACGCTTCCTGTTCTGTCTTCACTGCAGCCGCAGCCTAGATTCTGAAGATCTAGAACAGGCTTCTCCCAGCCGCAGCACCTCTTGGCACCTGAGACGTTCACCCAACGAGCTTGGCGGGAGGTTATAGTCTGATTTTTAAAAACTTCTGCCTGGGTGCAATTGAACCTTTTATGGGCTGTTAAGATATGAGGCTTCTCAACTTCTTCAGTGATTAAGTTCACTGGGAAATGCACACAAAGACAGCACTGTGTGGCCCGGGTGGGAACTCCAAGTGTATGAGCTGCTGCTGGACTTAGACCAGAAACAAACACTTGGACTCTAGGACGATGTTATGGGATCTGCCAGCTATAAAGCATATCTTGCTTGGCAACTAAAAGGTGCGTGTTTTTGGATGTTGGGGGAAATCACACATCAGCTCTAGGTTTTAAAGGCAGTGGAAGCAGCCACCTTCTTTTTGAACAGGTTTCTAACATTGGGCTCACAAGATTTGCAAATTGGGTTTCTCTGACATACTGAGACCGTACGTATTGGGCTTCTTGAGAATGCCTGTTAGTTTTCATTTAAACTTGAAAGTCACTGATTAGACTTTGAAGATCACCTTTTAGAACTTCCCTCTGTGCCTTCTGATAGGTCATTTGACCTCATCTGCAAGGCAGTCAACCGAGGAGCCGGAAAGAGAGCAGAGGCTTAACCTTTAACACCTTACAGTTCGACATTGTCGTTTAGACCCAGAAGAGACAGATTAACAAACCACCATAAGGCCAGCAAGTATCTTCGATGGCTTGATTTGATTGCCAAAGCTGGAATTTGATCTAAGGACCAGGTTCATAATTGTATGCAAATCTTCAAAGAGATATTCGGCCATGTTAAACTCTCCTTTATAGAAATAACTTCCTGGTTAGGACCATTCTGCTCCTCTAGAAGTCTTTGAGAATGGTCAGTTCTTGGTTGGTACAGGCGTTAAGAATAGTGCTGTTCAGACCCGAGCTCAGCGCTTGGCACCTGGACTCCTTGCAGGTGTTTGCTGAACAAAAGAGCAAGTGAGTATTGATTATCTGCTCTGTGCCAGGCGCGGTGCTGGGGCTGCAGGGGCACAGAGTGACCTGGGCTTGACCTAAACCTTTAATCCCTGAGTGGGAGGTAGGATTTCAAGAGCACAACAATGAAAGCTGTAGCAGAGGTACAGCCCAACGTGATACAGGTGTCCAAAGGTGGGAGTGCTCTCAGAAGGCCATCTGTGTTAGGTTTTTCAGTGTATTTGTGAGTTTCAGGTAAGCTTGAACGCCCACAGGATTAGCTGCCCTGAGACTTCATGCTGCTCAGAGCAAATGGAAATGAATCGATAGGAAGGACTGACTCAGGAGAAGGTGAGGAGCAGCAGCCCTGGCTTTAACAATTCTCTAGGTCAGCGTAGCGACTTCATGCTCTTTCTGCGTTCTTTCAGCCGGGCCTCAGCTGCACAGACTAGGGGACAGACAAACGACAGTTCTCCACCTGCTGAGAAACCCGGTAGCCACTGGCCAGCTGCCCAGAACGCAGGCCTGCAGAAGAGTTGGCTTGGCTTCACTGGAAATCAGTGCCTCCCCAGGGGCAGGCCACCAAGGCTGCTTTCCTCTTGTCGCTCCTAAATAACCAAAAATCCTCTTTATGTTAACAGAAGTTGCAAGACACAATTGCCAGTGATAATGTCAGTAAGGTTTTGAAAGCCGTGGTGCACACAGGCTCCGGTTTTGAGGCCGATGTTTTGAACTTCCTGTGGGGCCTGCCGAGGAGGGACTGTCTGCCTTGGTGGGTGCTCTGGGATGTCCATGACATTGTGCTGTTCCGTGGCAACAGGGGTCCTACTGATAACAGCAATTTTCACCACTTTCCCAAATAAAATACCAAGAGAGAGGATCCGAAAGAGAGGTACGATTTCTCTACACAGCTAACCTATCCGTCCGTAATAACTGTTTTTATTCTGAAGAAGCAAATGCGAATTGAAAACGCATTCACTTTTCTGGAACTTTCTTCCGATCCGCACAGCATTAACTTCTGTAGCTTGTCCTGTTCATTTCTGCTGCATAGTTTTTCCCAGCCGTTGCTTCTTCCTAGATGCTCTTCCCCTGGCCCCACAGCACCTTCCCGTAATGTGGGTTTCAGCCTAGTGCAGCCAGAACCAAACACTCCGCCTTCCCTAACCGCTCGGATTCAGTGGAATCCTTATCAAAAGCCTTCTGATCCATGAACGTGAATGTCCTCCCATTTATTTAGGTCTTCTTACATTTTTAAAAACAATGTCTTACAATTTTTAGAGTGCAAGCTTTACACTTGTTCAACTTATTTGTAAATATTTTTTCATGCTGTTGTAAATGGAATTGTTTTCTTATTTTCATTTTCAGATTGTTCACTACAAGTGTATAGATATAGAATTGATTTATGTATACTGATCTTATAACCTGCAATATTGCTAAACTTATTAGTTCGAACAGTTCTCAGACTGAGGTATTTTGCTTCAGTTCTCAGTTTATTGTTATGAAAAGGTGCTGGGTTTTGTCAAATGCTTGTTCTGTATCTACTGAGGTGATCATGTGGTTTTTGTCCTCTATTCTATTAATTTGGTGTATTACCATGACTGATTTCTGTATGTTGAATCGACAATCGTTTATAAATACCTGGATTCGGTTTGCTAATATTTTGTTGATGATGCTTGTGTCTATATTCATAAGGGGTATTATTCTGTTGTTCTCTTGGGATGTTTTGATATTAGGGTAATACTGACCCTATAGAAGGGGTTGGGGAGTGTTCTCTCACCCTCTATTTTGGGGAAGAGTTTATGAAGAATCAGCATTTACTTTTATCTAAATGTTTGGTAGAATTCACCAGGGAAGCTATTTAGGTTTGACCTTTGTGTTAAGAAAAGTTTTAAAATTACTAATCTAATCTGTTGTTATAGATGTTTAGTTTTTTTTAATGTAATTTCCTTATGGTTTCTACTCCTTCATCTCTTTAATCATTTACAATGTTTTTTTATAGTCCCTACCGGATGCCTCTGTATGGTTTCTGTTTGTTTTATTTTGTTTGGTTGCTTATTGCATTATTCGGCCACAGCAGTGCCTGCTGGTTCCCTGTCATGGTGGGTCACACCCTTTCCTTTTTTTTTTTAAATTGTGGAGTCATCTTTAGTGGCGATCCATTTTGTCTGTAAGAACCTGGGTTGTAAAGTGTTTCTCCAGAAAAACGTTGCATTCGTTTCTGGCAGGCGTTCCACAGGAGGGCGTAAAACGCAGACTCAGCCCCTGCCACACAACAGCGGCTCGATGAGTTAGTTTCTCTTAGGATTTTATTTTCTTCTACTAAAGACCTCAGTGACGTCAAACTCCCCTGTCCTCCCCGTTGGTCCCCCCTTACTGGCTCGCAGTCTTCTGGGGGCCCCACCTAATGAATGGGCCTTAGTGTCTGCCCCCTCCCTGGCCCGCCTTGTGCAGGGCTCAAGTCCTTACACAGGTGACATGCATAACATTTGAAACACCTGACCGTTTGGGCCTATTCCTGGCTCCGGTCCTCCCATCCACACCCTCGAGGCCGCCACAGCATCTGTCTGTTCCAGGCCTTGGTTTTCTTTTCTTTGGGTTTTTGGTACCGGAGAACGTTTGCTTTTTTTTCTTGCAAACTCAGCTATGTGTTCAAATACTTTTGTTACCTTTTATCCATACTTTGAAGTATGGGTAATTGGAGGAATTCTGGGCCTTCAGTCTGCCAGAAGCCAGAAAGGGCCTTTGTTGTTTGCATTTGAGGCTGCTCCTGGAGTGATGCGGGGATGGCGTTTCCGTCCGCCTCCCTCCCGTTGTTCTCTTGGTATATAGGACCAGTCGGGGCATTTTTCACTTCTTGCTGTCAGGTTTTTTTTTTTTTTTTTTTTTTTTTGTGCCTCTGAACGAGGGTCATTGGTCTTCAAGTTACTTTTAGTTCTAAAATTGTCTGAAAAAAAATTTTGTTAAAAACTGCTATTCACAGCCCCGATTCTGAAGTGTCTTTTTATCTCCAGGTGCAGGCAGGCTGGCCCCTGTGAGGAGAGGCTGTTTGCCAGAGGCCGGGATCACCTGAACATTCTTTACTTTTCCACGGGCAGAAGGGGAGCGGGAGACACTGGGCTGTTGTCCTGAGAACTCTGCGATTTTGGCTTCACCCGGGAAACTGTCGATTTGAGCAAGTGCATCTGGCCAATCTGCATTGGCCTCGTCTTGATTT